CCCAGCCCAGGTGTGCTCACCCTGCCCAGGTGTGCTCACACAGCCCAGGTGTGCCCCAGCCCAGGTGTGCTCACCCAGCCCAGGTGTGCTCACCCGGCCCAGGTGTGCCCCAGCCCAGGTGTGCTCACCCGGCCCAGGTGTGCGTACCTGGCCTGGTGTTCATCCGGCCCAGGCGTGCCCTGGCCCAGGCGTGGCCCCATCCAGTAGCTGTCATAAAGAGGCCTTGGCCTGGGTTGTGGGCCTGTGGAGGCAGAGCGGAGCAAGCGCAGAGGTAGCCTTCCCACCAGGACTGAGGCGGGCAGCATCTTTCTGCCTCTTCTCATCCCAAGAGCCCATGAAGGCCAAAGGGGGAGGCTGTAGGCAATCGAGTTCCCATGAAGGCCAAAGGGGGAGGCTGTAGGCAATCGAGTTCCATAGATGGCGCAGGATCCCTTCTCCACCCCTTCCCTCGGAGAGCCCAGGCCCCTGCCCTGCCGGGGTCTTGGGAGCCCTGGCCTGGTGGCCAGCACCGTGGCGGTGGGCGCCCTGGCCAGGTGGGGGCAGAGCAGTCAGGCCAGGGCCCCTGACACTTCCTGTGGAACGGGTGGCCCGGAGGGGTTCTGTGCTTCACGCACGCCTGGTTACTCCTGAGAATGGAGGCAGGGAGGCCTGGGCTCTGAGGGTGGATGGACAGCGCTGAGGGACGGGGCCTGGAGCAGGGGCAGCGCTGCCCGGCCCGCCGCCCCTGGCAACCGGTGATGGAGCCCTGTCCTCAGGGACGTCCACCCCGCCCTCCCGCCCGAGCATACCATCGTCTTCCTTGTGCGCATGCTCCCCGAGACACCCCGAGAAGCCTTCGCTCTGTGGCAGATGACCACGGAGGACTTCCGGCCCCTCCTTGGGGTGCTGCTGGATGGTGACTGTCCCCCTGCCCTTGGGAGGGGGTGGGACCCTACGTTGCCTCTCTCGACTCCAAGGCTGGTGGTCTGGGGAGATGGCCTTGCCCGGCTTGCCCGGCTAGGGCGTGGTGCCCATCCTCAGGGAGACACAGGCGGGGTCTGGGGTCCCCATTAAGGGCTGCCCCATCCTGCGGACCCTGCCCTCTGCCTTCTGCGCCGTGCTCACCTGCTCCCCCTCCCCCCACAGCTGGCAGGAAGTCGCTGACCTACTTCAACCACGCTGCCGGGTCCCCCACGCAGGCCACCTTCGACCTGCCAGAGGCAAAGAAGATTTTCTTTGGAAGCTTCCACAAGGTTCTGAAACTACTGGCTTGCCACTCAGAACCCAACTGGCCAGCCTCCCTTATAGGCAGCTGCCTGCCCCAGAGCTCTAGAATGTTCTCTGCCTCAGGGGCTGGTCAGTCCGGGGACTCCGACCCTCACACCTCTGTCTTCAAAGTTAACACTGGCAGTACCAGACTGTCCTCGGGGCCTTGCCCTTGCTAGGCAGGTGCTCTACCGCTTAGCTACACCCCCGTCCGTCTGCATTGGTTGTGAGGCAGGGTCTCACTCCATGCCTTTGCTGGTGCAGCCTTCGATCCTGCCACCTGGCTGCCCGGTGTGCTGGTGTGGCAGGTGTGTACCACCGTGCTGGGCGTTGGCCGATAAGGAGTCTCCCAGAGGCTAATGTCTGAGTTAGCCTTGAACTGGCGTCCTCCGGTCCCCACCTTCCAAGTTGCCTTGTCTCCATCTGGATCAAGGGGCTCTGCGGCCCATGGCCTTGTCTTATGGAGGCACCTTGGGCTTCCAGGGATGGCTTCTGGGGCCTCACGGATCTGGGCGGGGTCAGGAGACTGCCCAAGTCCCAATGGGGAATACCTCCTTCGCATGGCCCGGCCATGGTCTGGGCAGGACCTCCCGTGGCGTCTCTGTGCAGGTGCACGTGGCTGTGGGCCCCTCCAAGGTCAGACTGTACGTGGACTGCCGCAAGGTGGCGGAGAGGCCCATCGGGGGGGCGGGCAGCCCCCCTGCCACTGGCCTCGTCACGCTGGGGAGGCTGGCCAAGGCCAGGGGGCCCGAGGACAGCTCAGCCACGGTGAGTCCCGGGGCCGGGGGAGGGCAGGGGGTGGGCAGGGGACCCCAGGACAGCTCAGCCACGGTGAGTCCTGGGGCCGGGGGAGGGCAGGGGACCCCAGGACAGCTCAGCCACGGTGAGTCCCGGGGCCGGGGGAGGGCAGGGGGAGGGCAGGGGG